GATGAGGCATCAACCACACCTCTGAGCAACCTGTTCCAGTGCCTCAGCACCCTCACTGTAAAAGATTTTTTCCTTTTATCTAATCCAAAATCTACCCTCTTTGAGCTTGAAGCCATTTCCCCTTGTTCTATCTGCTGAAGAGTCTGTTCCCTTCTTTCCTGTAGCTCTCCTTTAGATACTGAAGGGCCACTATCAGGTCCCCTAACAGCCTTTTTTTCTCTAGGCTGAACAGCCCCAGCTTTCTGAGCCTGTTCTCAGAGGAGAGGTGTTCCATCCCTTGGATCAGTTTTGTGGCCCTTCTCTGGATGCTCCCCACAGGTCCATGTCTCTCCTGTACTGAGAACTCCACATCTGGATGCAGTACTCCAGGTGAGGCCTCACCAGTGCAACTTAGGGCACTCCTTTTGAAGATTAAAATACAACAGAGCTGATCTTTTCAGCTGTCTGCCTGAATCCTGGGAGAGGCTCATTGTGTGTTTGAGAAGTTGATTGAGCTGTGTATATTCAGTGTTAGCTTCTAACTATGAATATTTCAGAAGTCCTGAAAAGACTCTTGACGCATACGCACTAGGAAGTTCTGAAGTACTGCAAGTGGATCTGCACAGCTTGTCACTCTGAATAAAGCAGTATAAACATCTTAGAGTTTAGTCAGGAGAGGGCAAAGCACTGTGAATTTTGTTGCTTTCTCTTTGAAGCTTACAAGCTACTTTGCTGCCCCAAGACCTTTACTGTAAGCAGATGTTTTTGTCTAGTTTAAAAATCAAGCTGCTTCTAATCTCAGGTGAAGCTTTATTTTTATCTGCTATAGTTAAATTCTTCTGAAAGTAATTGTCTTGAAAGTTCAGTCAGTAACATACAGTTTGTCTTTTTAGTTTGTTTGTTGTAGACTTACTATATTGTACCCAGTTGAATCTTACTGGGATTTCATTTTCTTATATTGCTGCCTAAATGTAATAATCCTGTGGAATTTTTGTTCCTCTGAGGCCCTTACATGCTTCTCATGCTACTTCTGCTTTAGATTTCTGTGCTTCTAAATTAGTTCACGTGCTGACTGTTGAATCAAGAATGAGTCCCTGTAAAACTCCCACTTCATACCTTTCCCACTGTTCCTATCAGCTACTGGTAATAATGGTCCCATTGAACCAGCTTAAGGAAGGAAGCACATCACAAACTCATAAAGCTGCACCGGACAGTTGTGGGAGGGAGCAACCTACACAGCCTGTATTTCAGTACGCTGCTGTTCTCGTCTTCCTGTGTTAAGCTTCTCTTTGTTGCTTTGGGGTTTCATAGTTGCAGAGGGAAGGGATGTGGACAGCTACTGTTGGGTGTATATGCCTGCTCCAAGCGTACGTATTCATTAAAACACAGTTTGATTTTTCTATCCATGCCTCCAATTCCTTTGCTGAAAGGAATATAGCTATGAAGCAATAGCGGTTACTTTGCCAGATACCCACATTTCCAGTAGTACAACGGATAACAAAGGGAATTTCTACAGAAGTTTTACAGGTTTTTGTTTTCCCGTTTTTGCTCAGCAAAATAATAAACGGGGAAAAATTCTGAAGACTTCAGCTCTGAAGTTGCTGCCGTTTTAGTTGTGGGTTTTGTGGTGTGTAATTTTTGATTTTTGTGGTTTGGTGGTGGCTTATGTTGTTGCCTTATGAATGTCACAATAGAAATCAATAGTCCTCAGCCATGAACCACCAAAGAAAGGAAGAATGCTGTAAGAGACACTCTCTTCATTGAATAGCAGGTGGGGGGTATCTTTTCTCCTAGCGTTCTTTTCTGCATTTCAGCTGAATCTTTGCCACGTTCAGAGTGCATTCAGATTTCTAGGCAGACCCAGCATTCACATCTAGATACGTATTTTTCCTGTAAAACAAAGAATGTGCCTTAAGGTGTGCCTGGCTAGCTGACCTGTGCCATCACAGCCTTTTTCCTTAGTTTGAACTTTGAGAGCAGGTAACTCAATGATCCCTGTGGTTTCCTTCCACTGTCAGAGAAGAGATTGACCCTTGCAGCGCAGAGGCGATCAGCGTGGGTTTCACCTGTGGGTGGGTGCTGTGCCTCATCTGGTGAGACACTGACATAATAAATGGGATTCTGGGATCACAGAATCACAGAATTGTAGGGGCTGGAAGGGACCTCTAGCTATCATCTAGATATCCTACCAAAGCAGGCTCCCTAGAACAGGTTGCAGAGGTCAGCTCCCAACACTGGCCGAGTACCATCTAAGGAAAGTTGGTAGGTTCTGGACAACACTTTGTTAAGCCTTTGGCAGCAGTATTTTCATCTGTTTTATGGTGTTCAGCACAGTCCTCATGGAAACCTTTACCTCTTCTATCCTTTTTAAGAGCTCCGTGGAGTCGTTGTGCTGACTTCTCCTGTGTTTCAAGAGTCATCAAAGTACTCTCCAAAAAAGGAATTTGTCCCCACTTTTTCTCTGAGAGAGGTATTGCATTACCTCTGCTTGGAAAATGAGGAAGAAAGTGATTATATGATTCACCTTAATTGCACAGGAAGCTACTTGGTCTTGTCTTAATGTTACTGCTGATGCCACAGACTTGTCAGCAGGTTAAAATTGGATGTTTCTCTGATCCGGTGAGTCTCCTGTCTGCATACAGAAACTGTGTCTTGGGTTATCCTCATTGGGTTTCAAATGGATCTAAATATCCCCACTAATAAGTTAGCTTGTTCTAGATTTTATGATATTTTCCACTAGCTTCATCTGAAACTGAAAAGACATTTCCATTAATGCAGTGGAGACAAAAAGCCTCTGCTCTCTGACCCCCGCGGATTAGTGCTGTTCATCTAGAAGAAATCACAGCTGCTGCAGCTGTTGAGTGGAAGCGCTGAGGATGGCCATGACATGCTGCTAGTTGCTCCATCGCAATTAAAGCAGGCTCGTCAAGTATTGCTCATCCTGCAAGTGCCTAATGGGAGATGGTTGTGCACTGACCTTTCAAGATTGCATCACTGCTTTGTGTGCTTGAAAATAAGTAAAAAAAAAACAAAATGCAGTTTAGAAAGCAGTTGTGATATGTGGCAAATGTCCTGCTGGGTCTCATCTCAGATTTCCTGTGACTTTCCTAGTTCTTAGTTACCAGCAAACAGGGGGCATAGTTCACAGTGCAAAGGGTTCCCTCTTTTCTTCTCATTCTGCAGTATGTACAGTTCTGAATCACAGGATGGCCTGGGTTGAAAATGACCACAATGATCATCTAGTTTCAATTCCCCTGCCATGGGCAGGGTAACCAACCACCAGACCAGGCTGCCCAGAGCCACATCCAGCCTGGCCTTGAATGCCTCCAGGGATGGGGCACCCATTGTGCTGTAGGGATAAGCAGAGGCACCAGGTAATAAATCTGCCCCATTATGGCAGTTATTCTGTATGGTCAGGTAAAGTCTTGTGTTGAGTTTATCTTTTGTGTGTCAATGTAAATTGTTAAGGTAGAAAGTTTACATTATAGCTTAGAGGATAATGCAAGGCTAGTAACATCAACATGCAACTCTTTGAGTTGAGCACAGGGATAAGCAGAGGAGCAAACTCTCACTGAGTGGAATCTTTTAAATAAAATCCAACCCGTCCATTCAGTGAGATGGTGGTGTGCCTCCGCAGGTGTTGCTGCTGCTTATGTGTGCAAGTGGGGCCCAGGCGAGGCAGCCTCTCGTGCAAACCATAATGCTGATGTGTTACGAAGGAGTATTAATCAGTGAAAAACTAAAGCTCAACCGTGCTAAAGAAAGATGACGTGCGCAAATGACTTCTTCTACCTTGTGCTTGGCATGCTGCTGAGCCCTACTGGCACCCCCTGTGCAATACAGGGATGTTGCAGTTCTGCATTTCTCATGAGGAGGCCTTCACAGCCTTCACTGCCCAGATGACAAGAGATAGAGGCATCTTGTGACATCCCAAAAGTCAGAGTGCGAGATCTCTCAACAAAAGGACTCTGTTCTGCGCTGGTGAAGCAGATGTTGGCTCAGATTTCAGTTTACTCAGACAAATATGTGCCCCAGACAGCAGACAGCTTATCCGTCTACATAAATACATGTCTTCATTAGTTATCATTTTCTCCCACTATTTTTTTCTTCTGTTCTCTCTGTGATAGAAAGCCCTTTGTGTATCTGGCGCAGCATAAGATCCGCAGTCAGGTTAATGCTATTAGAAACCTTTTCTACAATGCCTTGGCCTGCAGTGGAGGATACTCTTCCCTAGGAAGCTCATTTAGTTAAGCACATTTTTTTTCTGGCAGAGCTTCCAAGGCACTGAGAGCTGAAGTTTTAACCCCTAACACGTGAGGTGATCTCTGCCCTGCACATTCAGCTGTTCCTTTAGAAAATTTCTATCTCAGCCATAGGGGAGGCCATTAGTAACAATCCACTTAACCAGTGCATCTGTACGTGCTCTTTTCTGTGTTTTGTTTTAGTTTTTTATTTCCCTGTGTGTTTGTTATAGGGGAAATGGCTGAGCCAAAGGCAGCATCTCTTGCAGCACTGTTTCTCATTGCAGCTGTTGCAGCAATGCCAGTGAGGAAGGGCAGCTGGTGAACTCTACGAGGTATTCCCGCACACCTGAGTTAGGGTACCCGAGCTGCTCCGGAGCACAGCACGGCAGAGAGCCCCGCTTTCCGAGCAGGGCTTCCCGGCAGCCCGCCGCTACGAGCGGAAGGAATGACGGCACTGAGCCCGGCCTGCAGCCCGCCGCTGCCGGGCGCTGTGCGCAGAGCTCCGCCTGCAGGCCGTAACGCTCACTGCAGGCGCATTCTGCTCAGGTTCTACACAAAACACAGCCGCGTTGCTTCATTCGTCTTCACCGCTCTTTCCCTCCATTTTCTTTTTATACCTTCGAGGATTTATTGAATTCGAAGCTGGTGCTGAAGGACCAATATGTCAAAAAATGTTCTCAGAAATGCTCACAATCGCTAAATAGAGTACTGTGTCCCGATGACAGCGCAAGGAGCACAGGTAAGCTTTTCCCCACCAGGAAAACAATACCCAGCACAATCGTGGCACCAAAATATTTATTTACAAGACATGTATATATTAACTCTTCTTTTTCTTAATCAATATTTTTGTCAAGCTATCCGGGTTTAAAATGTCCACGCCTGTTAAGAAAACAACCTTAAAATAATTAACCAGGGTCAGCTACAGTACACCACCTGCTTCCACAGTCCTCTGATAAAACACGTTCAAGGTAACAGAGAGTGTATTTACAGTAACACGGTGACAGTACTCACTCTTGCCTGCTGATGTGCTAAACAGCATCTCACAGAGCACAGAGCCAGCTGTCCCAAGCGCAGCACAGGGCTGTGCTGGCACGGCCTGCATTCAGACATCCCAGATGCGTCCCCAAGCCTTGCGGGGCTGTGAATCAGCATCCACCAGCACTTTCTGTACCTAAGGCAGAGACTTGCTGCTCTGGTGCTTGGTGACCCTGCACACAGCAGGGGGTTGAAACTAAATGATCATTGTGGTCCTTTTCAACCCAGGCCATTCTGTGATCCTATGAGTTCTGCTTTCGGATGGATGCAAACCAAAAGCAATTCCACTACAGATAATGAAGTACCGAAAAACAGAAATTTTACAAATGTTAGTAATCTTGGGTTTCATTCAAAGAGCACAATTTGGAAGGTTCTGAGCACACCAGAACGCCACGTCCAGAAACACACATTAGCTTGTGCCTAACCGAACATACCACAGTGTGGAGCCTACTGTAGGCTATTAAAGCAAATCACAGGCAAAAGCCCACAGGGTAACTGGTCAGCCTCCTGTTGCTATGGATCTACAGAAAGCAAGCCTCCCACTACTCTCCAAGGGGTTCAATCATCACCAAATTGCATCGATTCGAAAAGAAGAAACAAACATCAATGTGACTTTGCTTCTACTTCCCTAGAAACTCCACAGTGTTTTACTACTTCCTTGTGAATTATAGCAAGCTCCTACCATTCAGTCTGAATAAATACTTTTCTTTGTACAAGCCAGCATATTTAATTGTATTGTATTTTAACAGTGATGTCTCCATATATGTAGTGGGCTAGCACGCAGTGGCATCTGTTCTTTACACTAAAAACAACCTGTCAACTTTACAAGTAGTTCAGATCAGCAGAAAGGGTTAAAAAGGCATTTTGAATATCACACACTGATACTGCTGCCATTCAGGAACAGAATAAAAATTATTTAGAAATTGTAGAATTTCAACTTGTGAGGATGGGTATTTTCAACCAAAGTAAAGACTCGTCCCAGAAAGCCACGGTGGAAGGAAGGATGTCAGGAAGGCTAAGTCTCTTCTGGCTTTTTTAAAGAATCACTTTTTAGCAGGGAGCTCCATAATCTTGGACACTGTTATTTTCTCCAGTCATAGGGGAGCTGCCTTTTAGCTGAGCTGGAAACAGTTTAAAACACGACTCAAGTTGACCATACAGCTGTGCACAGTATAGTCTTGCTGTCACTTGCCACAGTTAAAACAAACAAACAAAATAGTGAATAGACTATTACAAGATCTACAGAAGAGTCTTCTCTTAATATCTAGAACACCACAAGGTGCCATGGTCCCATGCCCAAATGATTAGCTACTAGCTCTCGGGCTCAAACGAACTCACTGGTCCTGTGTATAAAGCTGTTTGGCTAACAGCCTGAATCACACCACCCCTAGGATGGGGCTTCCATTATTTATCTTTTTAATTGCAGTAATGCATCCGGCTGTGTGTGTGCACAGGTGAGGCATCAAGGTCTCGCAGAACAGCAGGATATAACCTAATAAAAACTGATACTAAAAACAAAACATCTCTGGCCCAGGCTGGAATAAATGTTGAGTTTGGAGGCTTTGGCAATTATTGTTTTCCGTCTGCTTGGTTTAAAATTCATTTTGTAATATGGAAATCACACATGGAAATTCTTAGTAAGATTCACTATTTTTTAAAAGTGTATGAAATACAACCATGCTAAATTGGTAAGTTTATAACAGTATTGTAGCTCTTTACATCTGTACTCTAACATTCCATGTTGGGAAAAGACCGTGCTCTTAGGAAGCCCAGGCTGCTAGGTGCTTCATGTCATCTTCATCCTCCACTCTCTTCCTGGTTGAAACTGCACAGAGAGAAAGGTTAACAATAATCATTAACTAACAATAACGATCAGAAACAATTTAATTTGTGAACATCAGGCCTTGCATACTGCTTTTTAGTTTTAAGATCTTGGGTCACGTTACTCAGAAGAAAGGTGAACATAGGTAATGGTGATGAAGCTGATAGCCTTGGCTCTGTACAGCACTGCTTAGCAGCAGCTACAGACATCGGTGTGTTATCAACGCTGTTTTTCTCCAAACCACTGCATCATACCAGACACCAAAGAAAACAATTCCACCCCTGCTGAAACTAAGACACAGGTACAACTGATGCGTCACACCATTAGCTCACATACAACCCCACTGTTAACAATACAGGTCTCATTTACCTCCTGCTGAAAGTTTCCTACAGAAAACACATTTGACCCCAAAAAGCTCCTACATGAGTGAGCAAGCACTGCAACACTGTTTTCTCCCCTCCACTTAAGCAGAAGCAAATGACCTGTCCCTGGCTGGCCTGTGACTACCTTGGAAAGGTGGCTACCTTTCCAAATACTGCTGAAGGGTTCTGCATGCACACATCATGCATGTGTCCTGGCAGTGTTCAAGAGATGTCTGGATGAGGTGCTACATGACATGGTTTAGTAGGTTGTGGTAGAAATGGTGATGGGAGGATGGCTGGACTAGATCATCTTATAGGTCCTTTCTAACCCAGTGATTCTATGTCCAGTTTCCAAATGGTATCACTACATTTTAATGGGAGTTATCATCTATTGAAAGGAAAAAATGTCCTAAACATGCTTTGCTCGAGTGGCTACTTGGTTAGCTGCTCTGCTCGCAGCAGTTAGTAATACTCAGCTCAGGTCCTACACTCACTTTCTTACTGTTTTTTTAAAGCCCAAACCTCCCATTCTGTTTTCACACCGCCCGAATCATAACCCCATTCAGTGACCTTCAAACTGAACAAACAGCCTTCATTCAGTGACCTGCAAACTGCATGCTCTACTGCCCAGGTTCAGCCTAGGCTCTCCCCAGCTCCATGCTGTGTGTGCGTCAGGATTTGCATTACTGGGTGTGCACCAGCCCTGCGTGTTTGTTTTAGTGCAGCCAGTCAGTTCCTGCCTTACTGCTGGGAGCTACCATCACAGAAGAGATCCTGAGTACCACTTCTAAAGATTCAAGCTGGGAGAAGGACACAGAAGACCAACAGGTCAAACCCCTACTCTGCAGGTGCCACTGGCTTACTGTTCAGCAGGGGAAGGTCATAGTGTCGTGCTCTACCCCACTTCCTCTACCTCTAACATCATGCACGTCCAACTAGAAGCAGCATAGAACCATTAATTGCTTTGTTCTTATTTCTTTGTAAAAGTAAGCATACAGTTACAAAATAGATTAGCCAGTTTTGCAAAAGCGACTAATTTTTCCCAAAGCAGCCATTTAGAAAGATGAAGTAGCAAATCTGGGATAATGAGAATCACATGGAGACGGTGTGGGTTCAAATAAAACACTCAGCTGGCACAGTTGGATCTGGAAAAGGAGATACGAACAAGCCAGAAATGCCGAGACTACAGTCTGCACTGAGTTTGCCTAAATCCATTTTCTTCCTGGCTTTTCCTCCATTTAACACAAGGAGATGAGACCACGGTTCCAGCTGGAACATTTTCAATTGCTTCTCAGGGATTTAAAGTGTCACTTGCCAAAACACACGAGTCTTCAGAATGAGCTGACCTAGGTACCCCATTCTGCAGAGAATGCACCACACAGCTGTGTCATGAGTGTTATTCTTGCCTCTGATTATCTATTCTCTCTTTACTAGCACCAATACACAGCAAGTCTTACAGCTCCTAGAGAACAGGGACACAGTGAAAGATACAGTTAACAGTTGTCTGTCCCAAGCTTAATTCAAAACAAACACAGCGTAACTACAGAAAAACAAGAGTACTGCTTAATGTTCCAGAGAGAGAAACCAAAGGCATGACAATGTTTCTTTCAATTTGCACGCCTTGCTACCTCTTGCATTTCTAATTACAGTATCAGTGGCAAATACCAAACCACTAACCTGAAAAACTGAATTTTTGTGATGCAAACGTTTTGTATCTAGGTCAGACTCCAATTAAAAAAGATTATTTCACTGCCATGGGAAAAAAATAAATCTTCCCATTCTCTGGTGATTTCACTATATTTCAGCAGGAGATGCACCAGGATATGTGAAAGGTCAAGTTCCCTGAATTTGCCTCTTCAGATCTATAGAGATTTTGGTCCTAAATGCTCTCACAAATCAAACTAGAATTCCTTTTTCTAATAAACTATGCAAGAATAGGTAAGGAATTTACAATGCTTTAGAAAACAAAGCAGAGTTAAATACATATCTGTGATTTTCTCTCACTCTTTGACACACAGCATGGCTTAATTATGAGAAACCTAAAATGGCAAGCAAGCAGTTTACCAGGGCGAGAAGGTAGCGATGTGGATGGAACACTTGGCAGCCTGACATCTCGCATTCTCTTGTTCATTTCTTCTTGCTCCAGTTCTTCTAATTCTGCCATCAACTCATCCTAAATTCAAGGAGAACATTAACAAATTCATTGTCCTGACAGTGATCTCAGACATGGGCACTTGTAACCGCCATAAAGCAAAGTATGACTGAAATAACAGTTTATGCTTGATAAAGAAAGATTATTAAGTAGTGTACTGCAAGTATCATTTTCATAACTGTGAAAACAATAACCTTCACTGAAAGTTCAAATAAAGATGATGGAAGTTAGAAACAGGTCAAAGTATAAAACTAGAAACAAAAAGGCCAGTGTACTATTCGTGACAAAAAGGCAAACGGAGAGAAAAAAGTCCAAATGCCTTCATCAGATTTGTTCCAAATCTACAGACTGCGCAGTTCTAACAGATTCTAATTTTAATGCGCATCTTTTCACATTTTAAAGACCAAACAGTTTCCATTGGTTATAAGGCAGACTGTCATTAATTGTTGTGCTTCCATCCTTTTATGCTAGGCCCAGGATTATGTGTGATTTCAAAGCAGCACTGGGATGAGAGTTGTTCTCCTGGGTCTTGTTACTCACTCTTGAGGCACACAACACCTTTGGGCTGCAGAAGTTAATTTGGGCAGATAGTCTCATCTACAAGCATAACATTAAAAATAAAAAGGCTTCATGCTTTTTAAAAAGCTTATTCCTTGGATTCTACTCAGCTATGGTAGGACCTTGTTTTGCATTCTTCCTCATACATACAGTGTCATGCCAGGGAGAAATAACCCTTATGTTTACGTGTCTATTTTGAGCAGCACAAATTACATGTTTCAGTGGTATGCATGTGAAGAGGAAATCCAAGTGCGTGGTCAAAATGTCCTTCAAATGAAAAGAAAAAATGAAATCTCCTCCTCCAGCATAAATCCTCCAAAAACCTAGTGATTAAGCCACTGATTCTAGCACTCTTAAGCTGAAGTAGCATGCAAACCAGATTTCCCAATGACTGAACAAGTACTGTAAATATTAGGCTTCTATGCAAAAGCAGTGCTGCTACAATGATGCCTCACGTGACTGACAGTGGCTTATTTTCCCAAAACAGGAAACACTCATTAACTCAGACCAGCACCTCAGGGAATTTTGGGTCAATCTGCACTACATCTAATGAGTCTAAACCCCTGAAAGTTAAGCAGTGATGAAAACTGAGTGATCCTGTACAGCTGCATGGGATGGCAGTATGTTTTCCAGTTGACTGGAGCCCAGTTTACGTCAGCCAAATCCCATTCTTTACACCAATATTAATGATTTAGATTCAAAGTGGAAAAACAGGAAAGAAGATAATGGAGAGAGAAAAAAAAAAAAATACAGAGAATCACTACCATTTTCAAAAACTCATGGAAAAAAAAATAACTTCTGAATGAAAAAGCAAACAGAAATTAATTAAGCAAATACGATTTAGCACATGTATTTTTCTCTGCTGTCCATTTGGGTATGTAGGAATTAATTAACTGGAAGGGTGGGAGTTGCTTGATTCTTTAAGAGATTATTCAAATGATTCCGAGTGCTTGGCCATCTTAACACAAAGTAGCACAATTAGTTTGATTTTGTATTTTAACTCAGTCTGGCCTCCAGCTGTACATCCCACAGATTGCACAAAGCACACTCAACCTCTCAGCAGTAAGGACCTCCTCGCACACAGCAGTCAAATCCAACCGTTGGATGAAAGCTACTGCAACAAAGTTTCAGAAGTTAGAGTTTCCTGGAAGGTGCCTGGGAAGAGAGCTCTACAGGAGAACCCTCACTGCCTGCAACAGGAATTACTTCTACATTCTTTCCTACAATAGAAAATCCAGAAAATAATGGCAGGACCAGCATCTACGAGCACCAAAACAATACAGTATCTGAAAATGTGACCCAGGTATGCAAAAATTGGAGCAGTAGGCTGTTCATGGTGCAGTGACAGCAAAACGCATTTTGTTAAATGGATGCCTGTTTGGAGCACAACAAATTATACCTTCCAGAATCCATTTAGAGCAGTACAAATTACATGTTTAAGTATGCTTTAGTGACCTTCTCCTTCTATGGTGCAACTGAGAACGCTACAATTGAAAATAACAACTATGGCTCTGGGTTTGAAACTTTCTTTTTCTTAGTCCATATTTTTATTATTTCCATGTTTCTTATTTCTACAAAGATCTAAGTAAACATAAGATGTCATAGATAGGATAAGTTAAGAGCCACGGAACTTCATGTCCTCACCTTTTGAGAAATAAAACACTGGAACAAACCACTGTACCACAAAACAACTACGGAGTGATCTTACAGCCAAAACTCAGTTCTTAGTAGAATACTGACCTCATCAAACTCATCACCAAACGCAGCTCTGTTTGAGATAGCTTCTGAAATTTCCTGAGCAACATCTTGCTGCTCAGTGATATCTTGCATCAAGTCATCAATTTTGTTCAAGTCCCTGCAACATAACATAGCAGTTTTCAGAGACACGTTATTCAAATTGTGCAGAAGGGACTCGGAAACACCTGAAGAGACCCCAGTTTACTTCTATTTAAGCAGAAGAACTCACATGGAGTAATTTCCCTTACTTAAACCTTACTGTTTCCTGGCAAGTTTTAGTGTGTTTTACTCAGTCCAGTTCCTTCCACTGTGGCATAACAACACAAGTCATTCTGCAGCAGCCTGTGCTTCCCCTCTCTCTGCTTCTCATACATCCATCAGCCAACAGCTACAATCACTGGGCAGAGCACATCTCCTTCCTGAGGTCAGCATCTTTATAGATGGATCTTTTTTGATGTTAAACATTCACCAGAACTGGGGGAAACTTACAAGGACCGCACTTGGAAGTTTCCCTTTATTGTTAACTTCATTATTGTTTTGGTTCCTGTTTACTTTTGCCAGAACAACCTTTCTGATATAACTCTTTATTCAGGCAGGAAAACACCTCATGAAACAACATAGGCCATATAAAAGTATTACACACACAAAAAGAAAAAAATACTCTACCTTTTATTCAAGCCTAACAAGTACTTTGAACCACACAGTCCAGCTTAGAGACTTTGAGGAAGAGCATCCACTTAGTTGAAGAAATCCAGTTTTATTGTGGAAAACTTGAGGGCAGCAACAGGTCTCTGCTGCCAAGGCATATTTACAAAAAAAAAAAAAGTACCACCTGGGTCTCTTTAGTTAGCTGGACTTCCACTTAAACTTGCTGCTAAGAAAAGATATTTTTCTGCCAAATTTTACACAACAGCACCAACAGCATTCCTGGCATTAAATGCTTGAACCAAAATGAAGTCAAAAACTGAATGACTGGATACAACAGACCATAGCAATGATATAGTTTAAAAGTTGTTACCAAGCTCCTTTTGAAAGCTAGTAGAAGTGACTTACATATTTTCATGCACTTTTTTCATAGCTTGTGCAGCATAACCCATATTCTTGAGCACTTCTGTGTTCGTGTGCGAATTCTCCAGCGCCTCTCTCTGGAATTCAATGGTTGAGAGCGTCCCATCAATTTGACTCAGCTGCTTCTCATACCTCTTTTTTCTCTTCAGTGCTTGTAAAGCAGCTGGAATGCAGAGACGCACAGTACATTGTGTATTTTCATAGCAAAACACAAGGACAAGCAGTTCAGTAAGAGTCTGACCAGAGGAAGTCACAGTTCTCACCCTCCTACCTTACTAGCAGAGAGGCAAACTTTGACCACAGTGGATCAGCAGTCTGTTTATCACCAACATGCTGTTGCACTAACATGCTGGGAAGCCTCTTTTAGGTTAAATCCTTTTAGAACAGGCAAGAGCAGCATCCTCCTCCTCAAGATCCAGAAGATCTTGAATTCCATCATGTGCATGTGGAGAAAATGGGGAAGATAGGGATGAAAAAGAAAAACATCAAAGAGAAATCAGAAAGTAGGAAATGAGAAAGAAGAGATTGCAAAACCTAAGGAAAATACAAGGAAGACAGAGCAAGAAGATCTGGCATCACGGCCACCTCTGCATCAAAGGTTTGTCTCAGCAGCAGAAAGAGTCAAGTGTAATGGCAAGTCCAAATGACCTAATCTTAGCTCAGAGGGAGGATTCACACTTCTTGGCTTTCAGTTGTATCTTCTGTTCCTTGTACTCAGCAAGAAACATACATTTAGCACTCAGAACTTGAAAATATATAGAAGATATAAGGCTTCCGTGGACAAGACCACACTTAAATCCAGCACCTAATTATCCCTTTAAATCAGGGAGATTACTGTTCTGTAAGCAGCGTACTTTGCCCAGAGTAAATCATTACCAGCATAAAGGCACGTGACAAACAGAAGGAGAAAAGGGCTTTCACTCAGTTTCTGGGTGTGGAACACACAGTCTTGCCACAACCATTTCCTGACCACTATTCTTTCCAAACTCTACATGAGCCAGGCAAGATAAAGCATACAAAAGAGACTGGATTGTGACTTAAAAAAAAAAGAGAGAGACAGAGAAACGATTGCTTTTTCAAAGCCAGTTAATAGCTGTGTCTTTTTTCCTGTTATATTTAATTTTTTAATCATGTTCAGAGCCAGCAAGCAACTGCAGTTCCCAGTCAGTGGAAAAAAGCAATTACTGTTGGTGTTCTGTTTAAGTGATCGCTTGTGTGAAAAACAATCTAGACACTGGGGAATCCAGTTCTCCAAATAAAGCAAGCATACCCTAAAATATGTATTTACTGCTTTACTGACAAGTGCTGGAATCAACATGGTCAAAATTGCCATCATTAGCTGCACAAGGACAAGCATTCACACAGACTGTGAAATACATTGTCTTTGGAATCTACAGAAAAGTGCATGAGGACAGCAAACCACAATCAAAATAGATTAACTCAGTATTTAAATTCAGCATTTACCCAGCTTTTGGGACACAGTCTGAAGCTTTGCAGTCCCAAGCATGAATATAGGTTGGGCAACAAGTGGACGGAAAGCAGCCCTGCAAAGGAGGATGTGGGGGTATTGGTGGATGAAAAACTGAACAAGAGCCAGCAGAGTGTGCTTGCAGCTCAGAAAGACAACTGCTTTCTGGGCTACATCAGAAGAGGGGTGGCCAGCAGGGGAACAGAAGCATCGTCCCCTTCTACTCTATCCTTGTGAGGCCCCACCTGCAGTACTGCATTCAGGTCAGAGGCACCCATTCTAAAAAGGAGATGGAGCTTCTGGAGAGAGTCCAGAGGAAGTCACAAGGATAATCGGGCTGGAGCAGCTCTCCTATGAAGACAGACTGAGAGAGTTGGGAGCTTTCAGTCTGGAGAAGAAAAGGCTTCAGGGAGACCTCAGAGTGGCTTTTCAGTGACTTACAGAGCAAAGGTCATATTAGCAAATCAATTCACACTTTTTTCTTAATCAACCCAGGTGTAACATATGCCCTTAATTGCAAGGTTCTGTAATTATAGCCCTACAGATAAAATGAGAATTTCGTTGTTACCTGAAATCTGTTTTTTCTGTTTTACAGATTATAATTAAATTTACTTTTAAGTGATTTTCCACTGCGCACACAAGCATTTTGAAATCTGTGTACCAATTCTTGCAAGCACATATTTAAATGCTTCACAGAAATGTTACGCATAATAAACTGAAATGTAATTTCTATTAATTAAAAAGAAAAAAAGAAAAAGAAAAATTGAAGAGAACATCAACTTACTTTACTGAAGCTCTAAGAATGACATTGAAAGAGAGCGTTGCCCATTTCCAAGATTTCAGAAAAGGAAAGACAGCCAGGTAGGATGAGTCTAAGTAGGGGCAGAGTCTGAAGAAGAAGCGTAACACCTGTTTAACAAGGAAGAAGTGGAGGTCTTCACCAGGACAAAGAGAAAGCAGTCTCAGATGCTCTGTTTTGCTCCAGTGAAGCAGATTCAACTCCTGCATTTCATAATGGAGTGCTTAGCAATTCCTTGTAGTTTACCAGCTGTGTTGTGCTCTACTTCAAGTCCAACAAGTAGGACACAGCTTAGTAGGATTAGGAACCACTGTTTTTAATTTGACTTTTTATTCTATTTTCCAATTCAGTGAGTGGAACAGCAACAGACTATTACATCAGTGTAGGTGTGCATGTTGAAGAACCACTGTTATTTACACACAGACGCTTTTCCAGCATTGTGCTAAGCTGATGCTTTAGCAAGGAAGAAGAAATGACCAAAATTGGCCATTTCTGGCAACAGTAATAGTAATTCTGGCCACACTGAATATCCAGGTTTCTAAAGTAAAGAACACAAACAGTGGCACAGTCGTGGCACTTTCATCACAGTCTCATGATAGATCAGAATTCAAAATTATCACTGTGATTTCTCATTTCATCTACAAGCCCTCCACCAATCAGTACAGGAATTGGTAATCTCATATTCTGAAGTAAAATTAAGAACATCGTGTAATAAGCTTTAAAATTCCCCGGGCAAAACTGGTTATGTCTTCAGAAGACGTAACACCACTGTGAAAACACTGGATCTCATTCTTGGCTAAGGTTCACAAAAACTCCATATCCCATAAGGGACTGATGGATTACAGAATGTGAGCTCAAACTAGGAACTCGGAGATGAAATGCTGCTGAGGCTGTAAAAATCACACCACTTTAAGATTATTATCAGCACTCTTCATCTTTTAAATCCTATGAGGAAAGCCACAAACAGTTACAACTGAGGCAATAATTCGGTAACAATAAGGCACTTGACTCATTATAACCACTCCAGCTGACAGCAAGATACTTTGAACGTGACCAAAAAGAGCAGAGAACAATGGCTCTAAGTCACAAAACAAAGACACACTTAAAAGTTTCCTCTTCTCTCCCTGCCACAAACCTTCAGTCCCTACCTGTCACACACCCTGTCACACACTGCAGGGATGATGGCCCAGCCCCTACCAGCATGCAACTGCCACACTGCTCTTCAGTTTCGACAGCATTCTGGCTACAGGTAGCTCATTGGAAAGGAATGCTACATGGCTACACCAACATTGCCCAAATGTACCACACAAGGTACTTAGCAGCATCCACTCATATAAGCCTACCTGTTATTCTGACCTTCTTCACAGGGTTTGTTCTCAGTAGTATTATATGGCTCTCTAGGTTAAGCTTTATTCCTATTCTGGATATAGAGAAAAAGAAAAAATGAAGGAAAAAAAAAAAAAAAAAAAGGAAATAAAAGAGGTATGGCTTCTTTCTATGTACTTTAACTCATTTCTTTTCATTTATCTGTATTTTAGGATCTGTGGTAGACTTCAGGCTGAAACAAAGTTATTTTCACAGGCACTGACACACTTCAGAAAACCCTTTTCCTTCTAAATGGACTTCTCAGGAAGCGAAACAGAAATAAAAGACTTGCATGTCTGTGAAGCTATGAGACAGGAGAGGTGAAGGTCAGAGGCATAAGGATTATTGTTAGAGCAAACAAGCAGTAACAATAAAGCAGCTTTTGAAGAACAGAACACAAATACTTCCCAGGACTACCCTAGAGGAACATTTTTTTGTACTCTGTGCTTATTCATACATTCAGCATTGCTGATAAACTTGCTTTAAACAAATAAACAAAGAGTCCTGGTCATCATTCCATCACTCAGTTAACAGTGGAGGCAGCAGCCCTCCACATGCTAAAAGAATACCCAGTATGAAGGTGGGAAGTTTCAGGTGAAAAAGCTTCTCTGTGGTGAGCTGTATTGGATCCTAACCCACGATCATAAAGAAACTGGGTGTTGTCATGGCTAATCCGGACATGATGAGCCAAAGAAGCACAGAGAAAACACATCTTGCACCTCTCCAGCACTACCCCAATTTCTCAACTTGAACCTCATCAATTCTGACACTTTGAATCATTTTCTGTCCTTTAAATTTTGCTGCGTGACCTTCAGAATATTGAAGATGAAGAGTCAGTGTGCTGCTGGATTTTGGAGCTGTGCAATGATTGAAACATCAAGAGATACTCTAGAAAATAAAGCAAGAGAAATAAAAAAAAATCCTGAGTTATGATCTGATATGGTGAGACATTTGAAGGCAATGTGAATCGTACGAATAAATACTGCTCATCATGACATAATCTCTCCAAGGGAAATTCTAGCACACACTGCTGTTCAGAGAACCCTGTGATAGTCTAGCTGCAGTAAAATGTCACCATTAGGTAACATGGCAAATGTATCATCCCCAAAGCACAGCTAATTTCAAATTCAATACAGGAACTGCAGAGATGTAGACTTCATAAAGGAGATGTCAAATATATTTAGCTGACACTTTGGATCTGTTTACATAGCTAACATGTTACAGCTTTAAGGCAAATTAAATCTTCCGATGTCACATGAACCCATCCAACACTCAGTCTCATCTGAACTTGTGAAAAATTGCTGGCTCCTGAATATGATCTCACTTGTGTCAGTAAAACTGACTCACACTCATAAGCATAAAAATCAAATGAGATCATACTAACTTGGAGCACTGTCCGTACCTGGATAAATCCTGCTTCATCCCAGACACTCCTGTTTTAAGCTCCACAGGCTCCTCCACAGGCGCAATTATGAAAAGAACACATCAAGCTACCCACCAGTTCCTTTTGAAATATTTGCTTTAACAAGGCATTGTAGATTCCAACTTTCATTCTCTCGTTCACACTCTGTGTTTACACAGCACTACTACAGGCACAGTCTAGCACAGATTTCCTCTGTAACATAGCACAGGGAGCAGTTAGTGTTGTTGTACACTAATGAACTGTGATAAAAACTAGCACAAATGTCACATCAAATGAGGGATATTCTTGGGGAATTAAGCTTACTCGGGCTGTCAAATTCAATTGTTGTGGCACAGCAAGGTGAGTTTCTCTTATTTCTCATGACTGCAGTTTCACCACCTCCTTTTGGCTTTAGAACCATTTTTTACACTAAAAAAATCCTTCTCTGTACTTCTTGCCCTACTTTCTCTTTACTGACCTTAACTGTGGGTTACTGAGGAAACGACAAGAAAGATCAAAGGGAGTTACTTCTGCCCACAACTAGTTCAATATCCAGTTTGCAATAAGACTTCACATACACCTGCATAGATAAAACCAGAAGGATTGCACACTGAGCGCAGCAGAGGAAACAAACACCTGGGAGAGAAGCTTCACAAGCCTAATGCCACATGTGTTAAGCATAAGGCAATGGGGTTGACTAACAGCCGGAACCCACATAAACCAGTCAGGTTGCAGGAAGCAGATCTGCCTTCTCCCAGTAGTGAGTAATTGCCTCTGCACCATTCCCTCCTTTGCAGGTGCCCAAGCTCTTCTGCAGCTGTGGAGCCAGAGAAACTTAACCTAGCCAGGGCAAAAACAATCTAGCTGAAAAACTAAGACATTTTATAGCTGCTGTCTGGAACACACCCTTCAGGAAGCTCTAACAAAAAAAGGATGGGAGAAGTGTGAGGCAGGACTGAGGCAGGAAACTGCAGTAATGGCAGCTTAAAGTGTAGGCATGGCACGAAGTTCTATAGCAACATGTCTAGGTCTTGGTAGGAATTGCTACAGGCATAGGAATGAGCCTGTTTCCTTGTGTCAGCCCCACTGGTCTTGCACAGTGACCTATCCCTGATAGCTATCTGTTCACTGTGTCCCACAGTGTGTCCCACAGTGTGACTTTGCAGCCAGATTCCCTCCCTGAATAGCCAGCTCCAGTTGAAGGCAGGGAAGCCTGTAAGAACTCTCTTAAGATATCTGGAACATGACAACCCTCAACGTGACATCCTTGAGAGCTCACATGCCACAGGCAGACAGACTCAGCTGCTGGGCTGGCGTTGGTCCCTTAAAATCTGACCAATTCCTACCAGTGTTTTCTAAGCCTAACTAAATACTTCTTGCTAACAACTATTAAGTGCTAAAGTATTACAAATACATTAAGGGGATAATCAAAACACTCCTCACAAGCTCTAAATTATATGCCATTAACTTTTTAAATTATCCAGCAACAGAAGGAGCAGGTGAAAGAACTACTCTTTTGTTACATTGTGAATCATTGATTCAGAACATTCTGCCTCTGTTTGGAAGCATTTAAGAAAAAATAAGTCTTGGAGTAGACAATCAGGAATCCAGGCAACTTCAAAAGGTAATTATCTCATTTCTCAAAGGTCTGCGTGTCCCTGTGGTCCCAACCATTTGCTTCCCAGAGACGACAGCACTGATGTAAGCAGAATCCTGACCTTATTTATTACCGCCCACAGGACTACAGGCACAAAACTAGTTAAGAATGAAGCATCCTCTTATCGGTCAGCCACAATGACTCCACAATGCACCAAACACAAATGGATACCAAAGCCACCACAGCGGCCAACTGCAGGAACCTGGCCATTTAAAGACACACAACCCACTCAGGTCGCCACTTAAAGGTTCTCCCGAGCAGACACGGGGCTCACCTCGCCTGTTCTTGGTGCCGTGCTGCCGAGCCAGCGCCAGCTCCCGTTCAATCCTGGTCTCCAAGTACTCCTGCTTCTTGCTGAGCATCTCCTCCGTCTCCCGCAGCCGGGCCAGGGCCTCCTGCGGCGAGGGCCCCCCACGGCCCTTGGAGGCCGCGGAGCCGCCCCCCTTGAAGAACCTGGAGATCTTGCTCATCGCGGCGTCGGAAGGCTCTGCCCGGGCCGGGCCGCCTCAGAGGCGCGATGGCACTTCCCGGGCCGCGGTACGGCACCTGGCGGCGGGGCGGGCCGGGCCGGCCTCACCTCCCGCCCCCGGATCGCGCGTACCCCCCGAGCGGCGAGAGGGCGGCGAGCTCCGAGGGCAGCACCGGCGTTGACGGGCGGCGGGCGGGCGGCGCCGGGCGGGACAGAGGGCGGCGGGGAGGCGGGCAGCTGCCCGGCGGACGTGGGGCGGCGGCGGGAGCGGCGGCGGGGAGGCTCCTACCGAAGGAACGCTCCTGGCGCGTTTCCCTGCCCTGCCCCACCTTCGGCTGAGTGCTCACGACGTGCTTTGGTAGTAATGCAGGAAGCGCAGTCCTGTTTTGAGATGACCGGACATTGAAAGTTTAGGGATAGCTCTACAGCTTGCGTTTTCCTCCAGTTTCAGGATCATAAAGGCTGGAAAAGACCTCAAAGATCATCTAGTCCAACTGTCAACCCATCCCCACCATACCACTATACTAAGTCCCCTCTGTGTCACATCTCCACATTTCCTAACACTGCCAGGGATGCTGACTCTACCTCCTCCCTGGGCAGCCTGTGCCAGTGCCTCTCCACTCCTTCTGAGAAGAAGTGTTTCCAAATATCCAACCTGAATCACCCCTCACACGACTTGAGGCCATTCCCCCTTGTCCTATCACTGTTACCTGGGAGAAGAGGCCAACCCCCACCTCCCCACAACCTCCTTTAATGCAGTTGTAGAGGGCAATATGATCTCACCCGAGCCTCCTCTTCTTCAGACCAAACAATCCTGTTCCCTCAGCTGCTCCCCATAGGACTTGTGCTCCAGACACACCATCACAGAATCGCAGAATTGTAGGGATTGGAAGAGACCTCTGGAGATCATCTAGTCCAACCAACTCCCCTCCCAAAGCATGTTCCCTACAGTAGGTCACAAAAGAAAGTGTTCAGACTAGTCTTGAATATCTCCAGGGGAGACTCCACAACATCTCTGGGCTGGCATTCCAGTGCTGTCACACTGATAGTAAAGAAGTTCTATATTCTGTTTGTACAGAACTTCCTGTGCTCCAGTTTCTGCCCATTGCCCCATGTTCCACAGCTGCTCTCCATCAAAATGAGTCCACTCTCATGGACTTGACTCCCACATATTTATGAAGTGATGAGCTCCCCTCTCAGCATTCTCCAGACTGAAATGTCTCAGGTCTCTCAGCCTTTCCTTATACAGAGGCTTTGTTGCCTTTCATAGGACACACTCCATGGCCTCAATGTCTTTCTTCCAGTAAGTCTCATACTGCAAGGAGTGTTTTCAGAGGAACAATCACCTCACTAACAATGCCAACCAATCAGGAATGTGCCAGCACCTGATGCGTGATGTCAGTGACAAGCAGGTGACACAGACTCCTTGTAAATACTGGATGCAGAAGTCAGTGGTGACACAAGCTCTGTGGTGGCGAGTGGCAGCTGTGAGCCATGCTCTGCACTGTGCTGCAAGAGGACACTTGTGTGTAAGCGCCCTGAGGCTCTTGTATGGCCTCACCTCAAGCACTGCATGCAAATTTGAGTGCTACGATATAAAAAGGACATGAAACTAAAACTATAAGCATCCACAGGAGAGCTACAAAAATGGTAAAGTATCCAGAGGGCAAAATGTGTGAGAAGCAGCTGAGGTCCCTGTGTGCGCTCAGCGCAGAGCAGAGGAGCTGAGGGGAGGCCTGATGGCGGCTGCAGCTCCTCACAGGGAGCAGAGGGGCAGCGCTGAGCTCTGCTCTGTGTGACAGCGACAGGGCCCGAGGGAACGGCGTGGAGCTTTAATCCATGATGATTCTATCTTAAAAACACACATAGGACTGATAAAATAAAGCGTAAATTTTCACAGGAAAGAAATGCAGTTTTTCAGAAGATTAGATGCATACCTATAGAAACCACAGCAGTGGTTAGTAATTAAAAGTGCAAGAAGGATCTCGGGAGCTCGTCTTCTCCCTTCCCTTTTCCTCTGTCTCCTGGACACGCACTGTTCTGCACCAGACACAACTCAAAAGAACCAGAAGCACGAACCACTTTTTCCGCCAGTAGCAGCAGGCACACGGCCCCGTGCAGCGAGCAATCACCGCGACGGGTAACACGACGGGTACTACGAATCCCGCCCTGGGGCAGGAAGAGCCGCATATCTGCATACGTACTCCCGCCCCTTCTCCTCCCTATCTCCCCCCCCGCGCCTTCCCCCTGCCCGGTCGGAGTCCTCCAGCAGCGCGATGGCGCTTGCGCGCCTCATTTGCTCAGCTCCCCACCCCTTCCGCCTGAGGCGGCGCGAGAGGAAAATGGCGGAGCTGTCGCTGGGACAGCACTGCGGGGTGTCGGACTGCCACCAGCTGGGTGAGCAGCGGGGCTGCGCGGCTCTATGGGCTCTATGGGCTCTATGGGCTCTATGGGCTCTATGGGCTCTATGGGCTCTATGGGCTCTATGGGCTCTATGGGCTCTATGGGCTCTATGGGCTCTATGGGCTCTATGGGCTCTATGGGCTCTATGGGCTCTATGGGCTCTATGGGCTCTATGGGCTCTATGGGCTCTATGGGCTCTATGGGCTCTGTCACTACAGAACGTATATACATTTAATTTACCTTCTCAGATCTATTTTCTGTAATGCTAACTGGAGGAGTTAGCAGTGGAACTGAGTCACAAAAGCCACTTTGGGGTATTGTGTAACTGCGATTGTTAAATGTCCATAAAGATACCTACCCCGTGATAAAAATAAACAAAACTTAAACATGTAAAAATTAAAATAAAAACTATTAGGAAATATATATATATATATATTTAACTGAAAACAAATCTCCCTTTCCGGTTTTGAGTTGAAGGAGGGAAAATTTAGGTTGGATATCATGGGGATGCTTTTCACCAAGAGAAAAGAGAGGTGCTGGAACAGGCTGCCCTGAGAGGCTGTGGATGCCCCGTTCCTGGAGGTGTTAAAGCCAGGTTGGATGGGGCCCTGGGCAGCCCAGTCTAGTATCAAATGGGGAGGTTGGTGGCCCTGCCTGTGGGAGGGGAATTGGACCTTGATGAACCTGGGATCCCTTCCAAATTCTATGATTTCTTTCAGATTTTCTCCCCTTTGTATGTGATGGCTGTTCAGGTGTTTTTTGGTAAGTTTTCCTATAAAATCTCAGTGTAACAATTGTTGGAGACTCAAATGTTTTGTGAATGTGAAGTAACTCAAGTTAGATACATTCAGTTAAAAAAAAAAAAAAAAAAAAAAAGTTATTTTTTCATTGCCTGTTCTCCCAAGCAGCTGTAGAGATTTGAAATGAGAGAGTGTCTTTAGAATGTGGTTAACTATTACAGCAGGCATGAGGGTTAGAGCTTGGTTTGTACTGTTGGTATTTGTTTTATGTAGAAAAAAATATATAAATTTCTTCCAGGGTCTCTAATCAGAGCAGCGAAATGATTACCTGTCTCAAGTTGAGAGCAGATCTAAAATTTCACTTTAAAATTGTAGATGCTTTCAAAGTGATCCAAAATTCATTAAAATAGACAAATTCCAGTTGCTTTGACCTGAATTCTTAAGCATGCTAATGACCTTACTGTCTTGGAATGCTTTATTAACTTTGGGCGTTAAGTCCCGAGTGATGAATAACTGTGGTGGTGGAGTCACTGGCCCTGGAGGTGCTCAAGGAATGTTTGGATGTTGTGTTGAGAGACATGGTTTAGTGAGAACTATTGGTGATGGGTGGATGGTTGGTCTGGGTGGTCTTGTGGGTCTTTTCCAACCTTGGTGATTCTATGATTCTTTGCTTCTCAGGTAGCAAAGCACCACACAGTCATTCACTTGTTAGAATAAATTTTGTGAATTTAGTTAAAGTGTTGCTATGATAAAACTTGTCAGATTGCACTTAAAACACTTAAATGTTTTTATGTGCACTTTTTTTTCTCTTGAAATGATGATAATGCTGTGATATTTTCTTCTTTTGCCACTGAGTCTTCAGCACAGGAGCCGGGATGCTCATGGGTGTTCTGAGGTAATCTAACAATATAGGGCTACCTTTAAAATTCTGTGCAACTGAACTAGCTATTTTCAGGTTAGGCATATATGCATAGTAAATAACTATGAATTATTAAACTGAGAGTGATTGACAAGCTTAAAAAATGAATGTACCCTTTCTCTGTGTTTCAAAATTAAGTTTGTTTAGGGAGATGGTTCTTTTTCTAACAGCTGTATTAATGAGAAGTAAGAGAAATTGCTAAACTAGTTTTACCTAGAGAATCAAGAGCAGGCACAGTCCTTTTCAGTAACCAGGCTGGTGGCTTGTCTGTAGTATATTTATTTACACAGAATATTTTGTATTGATGCTTAGGTGAATATAAGCAACAATTCTGTGAAACCAGATCAGCACAGATCTTACCTGTGCTCATATAAGGACTGCCACGCGAAGGAACTTCTGCCAGTTTTATGTCCCTACTGTGAAAAACATTTTTGCCTGAGGTGAGTGGAACAGTGTTTAAAGATAAATGCTTGTTCATTAGTGCATGGGGCACAAATTAATGCAAGTTTTTGTCCCTGTTATTTATAGACATCGGCATCAATCGGATCATGAGTGTGAGAAACTGGACACACCACAACCTCGAATGGCTGCCACTCAGAAGCTAGTTAAAGATATTATAGGCAAGTACAATGAAAGACAGATATACACTACAGTTCTCTTCAGAAGGTTTGTGGCCTTCTTTAATGGTCTAGACTTGAGCAAAAGAAAGACAGGATGGGAGTTCCTTGTTTGAATAGCCTTAGATTCAGCTGTCAGCATGTAATTGTGTTCACTGAGTCTGCAACAAGAAAAGAGTAGCATATACCTAGAAATAAAATCTTTGAAAATTGCAAGGACACTCAAGTTTATTTCAGAATTATTGCATTGTTTTGATTCAAGTACTATCATGTAATTAATCTTAGTTAGCCATTTATCTTTGCATCTTAGTTTATACACAGATAATGCTTGTATTCTGTGCACATGCTTGCCTGCTGGGATTATACCTAAGCAGTCAAGGTGGGGAAAAAAAAAAAAAAAAAGTCCACAATACAATTTTTGTAGCTTTTAGGCAGTGATTTTATTCTTTCCTGCATAACTGGCTCATGAGTGTTACATGTAGAAAGGAGAACCTACACCTGTTGCCGTATGAATGCTGTGATCACCACAGCTACAAAAGCATAGGAATTTGTATTTCTTCAGCTTTTGCAAGTTGCTTAGCTGGTTCTTTTGCTGATCTATCTTTCCATATCATTCCAGAGTTCTGTTACATCATAAATATCCTTGAATAGGTGTACGTAATATCTTGCCTTCAGGAGGACAGGTAGGGAGTTGACAACATAAGAGATATAATAAGGCTTATAGCATAGAGATATAATATAAGCTTGTTCCAAGATATGTTCATGAGAAATTTGACTCATACTAACAGGAATAATATTGTTCTCAGATTCTAAAAAAAGTGAAGAAATAAAAAGCAAAAAACGCAAAGGAGCAAGAAACAGTGAAACAGCAGCAAAAGTGGCATTAATGAAACTGAAAATGCATGCATGTGGTGACAAGTCCTTGCCTCAGGTCAGTCGTGCTTGGTTTCCATAATTTACTTCTCAAAGGAAACGATACATTTTCTAAGTTACTTTTTCTGCTAGTTCTCTCAGTTTGTTTTTGGATTTAATTCTCCAAGGCCTCAGTCATTTACACATAGATTTCAACTTGCCATCCAAAAGCTGTCTCACTGATCCCATGTCTTTTGTAAGGTGTTTGTGTAGAGTTTAGAACAGTCAGGTCCTTTAAAACAGAGTTGTGTTAGCACGCCAAGTTTAGGCCTCTGAGATTGTATTTATAATAGTGAAAACATTCTGTGTGATAATTAGTATTTAATTATTTTTTTTAAAACAAATGCAGCTATTCTGTTACTGAGTCCTCTTATGAATTTATTTTTTTCTGTACTCATTGTGCTTTAAATTGGATAGGTCTTCTGCTATGAGCAGGATTATTACAAAGACCTGCTTGTAACACTCCTCACAGTGCCACTGTAAGAAGTATTTCCTGAAGAGAGAGTGATCAATTTCAAATATTATGGAACGTAGTTTTTAGAAGTCTGTCACCAGAACTTACAAGAAAACTTACAAAGTGGCATCTTATTCCAAAGCTAATAAAGTCTAACTAGTCTAACACAAATTACTGTATGTTAGTTTCTCTCTCATTAATTTTCTTATTTGGATATTAATTCTCCAACCATCTAGAGTAGCAAAATGTCAAGACTGATAAATAAACTCTTGCATCTCTCTCTGTTGCCTCCTAGACTCTTTATAGACAGTCATTTTTTAACTCTACTGCCCAGCAAGTTCCAGTTTGACAGATTTTTTTTAATATGAAGTTTCTCAAACGCTTCTTAGGCATATTAATTCTCTCATCGCTGAACAGTGAAGTTATAGATGTTCAAAACTTGACTGAATTTGACTTGATGCTACCTGAAGAGTCCTGGTAGTTAGGCTCAGCTTTAATTTTGCCTTGCTTTGAGCATGATCTGCACTATGTGACCCCAACAGTCCTTTCTAACAAAGATCAGGAAAAAAAAGACTCTTAGAAATGTCTTTTCTCTCTTGATAGGCCAGGGATCAGTTTTCTGCAGGTAACTGCTTGTTATGGGTACTCTTTTCAAGACTGAGCAGCTCAAAACAGGAGGGCCACGTGGCAATATAGTGTTAGCTATTCTGTCCTTGACTGACTGATATTCTCGTGTATATGGCATAGAAATTCTAGGAGACACATTCCAGAGTTGGAGATGCAGCAGTAGAATGAGCAGTTTTGTGAATTGTGTTGCAGTGAGCTGTGGGAGACTGCTTCGTCATCTTTAGAACTGGAGGAGGAACTGGAGGAAGGTGCTAGGACACTGTTAGAAGCTAAGTTACATAGCATGTGTTTGGAATAACATGGCTGCGTTAGCTGTTTCACAACTTCATTTACATTTTAGAAAGATTCAAGTCCTGCTTCCCTTTCCCTTTTGTAGTATGCCTTGGTGTTACAAATTTTTATGTGGGGAAAGTGCACAGGTTGAATATCATCCTCAGTTTTATGAACAAGCTGGGAGGAGGATAGATCCGTGGTTTTGTTTTGTTTTGTTTTTTTTCCTTGGGAAGGCTTAAATAAATCCTTGAGAAAGAAGACCTCTGTCTTGTTTGACAGTGTCTGGCTTGGATTCGTAAAGCACAGACTCAACTGATGAATGTACCAGTGCATATGTGTGGAATTATATTTTGCTTTTCTGATTTTATTTTATTGTCATTTTTATCTTTTATAAATGTAACTTGTTTTTATGTTTTTCTAGACAGAAAGAATTTACTTTCAAGTACTTTTACCAAAGGGAAACAAAGAGAAAAGCAAGCCTATGTTCTTTTGCAGTAAGTGGAGTATTGGCAAAATAGTAGATTATGCAGCTTCCTTAGCAAGCCTTAAAAATGACAACAACAAATCAACAGCCCAGGTAAATCAGTAATAATATTTACACATCCCTCCCTCTCCTTGTCGTCCCTCTGCCCCCTTCTCCCTTTTTGCATCTTGGGCAAATTTTGACATTAATTTCTGTGTTCATTTTCTTGTAGAAATTGAGGTTATGCCATACTGCCTCTGGAGAAGCCTTGCCATTTGAGCACACGTTGGAGAAATGGCTATCTGATGAAGATTATCCATTATTCAATGGTGGAAATATAATTCTGGAGTATCTTGATAATGATGTTTTATTTATAGAAGATACAGAGTCATACTTAAGTTAGTAAAATATTGCAAACTAACAGAAGAAAATTTTCTAGAAATGTGGTGTTCAAACCAAGACCAGTTTCCTCTTCATAGAATCATAGAATGGCTTGAGTTGGAAAGGACCTTAAAGATCATCTAGTTCCAAGCCTCCAGCCATAGGCAGAGTTGCCACCCATAAATTACTGTATGCAGAATCTGTTCTCACCTCTGGAAGACACAGTTTCTGTGAATTCTTCAGCTGCATAAGTGGCAAAACTATGTCCTGAAAAGACTGCTAGTTATTACAATAATTCTCTAACTAAAATAGACTCTTGCTTTAGTGACATTTTACAGCTAAATTTTATATGTGTTTATTTTTGTTTAAATGATGTCTAAATTATGTATTGATAAATACTGAAAATGCGCAGTCGCAATGTGTCAGTTCTGTGAAGGAAAGGAGCACATTACACTCTTGCAGCATGTTTTCTATGTCTACAGGGACAGATTTCACATGTTCGGAATGCAGCACCGGAGCCCGTGCTTCAGATCCACATTTTCTTAGTGCATTGATTTTTAGAGAAGAAGCTTTATAAAGCAAAAGTAATTCTCATGTCTCTTCTGTGTTTCAGAATTTCAATATCAAGTTTTGTTTTTTTTTTTTAATATTCCACTTTATTACCCAGTGAAATCATCCTCTCATGTTACATAAGTTTTCAAAAAGGAAGAAATATGGTTAAACCAGCAGCACAGCTTTTAATACCTTGTGGTTTCATCCTGTCCTGGTTTAGACAGTGTCTGTTTTAGGTAAATCTCTGTTGCATCATCTTCAGCAGTCTGCAAGATAGAGTCCCCATGTTTTAAAGGGGTCGTTGATGGTGCTTCGACACAATGAATTACACCTCTAGTTGCTTGTAGTGGCTTTCTCTGATGTCAGTCTTGTAATTCGGTTTGGAGGTCATTAAAAAGATTGTTTGAAGTATAAGTAGATGTACTCCAATTTTTGTGAAGATGCTGCAAAAAGGAGGTGCTTTGCACAAAGGAAAGAACTGATGAGCCAGACTGTAAGAAAGCACTGAAGTGCTGTTGTCATTACGCTGTCTGGTGCATCCCCAAACTTCTTTCCACTTTGCCTCGAAGTGACACACAGACATGCTAAGCAGGAGTCAAGGTTTTCCAGCAATGTAGGTAAAGCATACTTCTGCAATGAGAGCAGAACTGGTGATCATAGAATGGTTTGAGTTGGAAGGGACATTTAAGATCATCTAGTTCCAACCCCCTGCAATAGGCAGAGACAAGATGTAATGCACAGAATGGGGGGAGAATGGCTAGAAGTAAGGATGGCAAACTTTGGAGCAAAGATGTGTTGGAGGCTTTGAGAAATCAGTGGGATTGTCTTTACAGGAAAAAGCAGTTTGGTCTTCAGTGACTGAATATTTTGAAAGTCTTTGGTTCATGATAGTGAAATGTTATGCATGCATTTCTCCATTTCCCCCTATCTCTCTCTGCAGCTGTATGTCGTCTCTTTCTGGCATTTCTGGCATCTTTCTCTTGCCATTTCTTTTCTTCTCTTTCTTTTCACATCCCTTCACCTGCCACCTGCAGGTGAAGCATATGACTTACATGACTGTTCTACCACCTCCCCGTCATCAACATATTTGGATAAGAAGGCTGAGGAGGGATATGTGCCAGAACTGCCTGCACGCAGCCTCTTCAGAAGTTTTATTTACTTCATAATACAGGTTTTCTTTGTGCATATAACTGCAGGCAAAATGACTATAATAAAATTTACTGGAGCTGGGGAGAATGCAGACTAGGGGAAGTGGAAGTAAATCTTTGGGGAGAACTCGAAGGTTTCATAAGGAAGTTTGCTTTTCCCAATCGCCAGTTAATGCTAAGAGCTAGCAGCCTGTAAATGACAGTACAAATACAGCAAGTCACAGGTTGTTAAAACTCCAAAAATTTTTGACATTCACTTTCATCTTATTCCAAGGCTGTGTCTGGGATAATATGCAGAAGCTCATCCCACTTAGTTTTGAAAAACCGAGAAGCAAAAACAAATGAAGGCAGGCTGACAAATAGCTATCCTATCATGGCATTCTTATACAGACTCTAGAAGTAAAAGCAGAAGCGTTTGCTGAGCTGCAGCATCTTGTTTGAGATAGAATTGCTCAGGTGTTAGCTGTTTGACTTTAGCTTCTTGTTTGTTATTTCTCTGTGTGACAGTTTTAGAAAATGGATGAGGCTAAGCCTCTGCAAATGTTTTACCTCCTAGGGTGCTGCAGGTTCCCACTCCTGGCCTTGTGTTGTTTCACACAAAATCTCCTGTATACTGGTATGGAGGTACAGAGCAAACTTTGGGAAACCCTAAATTTGCATCAAAGGCTCAACTTTGCTTTTGTAAGTGACTTGTGAACCAGCTGGGCAGTGCCAAAGTAAACAAGCAATGCTATGTTGTGCTGAGAAAGCAGACAGCCATCTCTCAAGCAGTTTCTCTTTGTGTGTCTTTTAGGAAGAGAGAAAAGTTATGTGCCCTGTGGTGTGTGACCTGCGTGGCCTGAAGGTGTTTACCAGCAGATCTGTTTTCTTGCTTACCAGGTGTCACAACAAAAGCTAAACCACAGCCCGTGTGCCTCAGTTGGTGCTACAGTTTTTAGCTTGCAATGATGTGCAAAATAATCATGCAGGAAAACATTTGCACAGACCTGTAAAGACTGACAAATACTGCTTAAGGTCTCTACAATTCTGCCTGTTTGAAAATGAGAAAGATGAAGCGTGGAAAGGTGCAGTGACTAGGCACTGACGCTGCTGGGAATGGACACCACATCTCTGAGGTATAAAGGAAAAGGTGAAAGCTGCCCTGCAGAAGCACACAGCCGTGGGTTGGGTTGCCACTGGGAGCAGCAGACAAGTCATGGTCATTCTGAACCATAAAGTACGTTGCACAGCCCTTGTCCTCCTTGCTGTTCACTGTAAAACATCTTACATATGAGAGTAAACTAGATTAACTGCCGGTTGTAAACACAAGACGCCTCAGTGTTTTATCCTGATGAAAGATGCAGGGCCAGAATTCAGAGAACAAGGCTCTGTTCAGGCAACCTTACCAAGGAAAGCAATGACTTTTGTTTCCCTCTATGTCTCTTTAACGATATTAACCTAAAAAATGCAGCTATTTTCGTTTCCAAAAAATCTGTCTGGATTGTATGGGCTTTTCTGGAAATTTACTGCATGTTTAACATCAAAACCAGTGGTCTGTCAGGTTGCAAGTTTGGTATTATCTCAACTACCAGCCCTAACGGGGGTGGAGGGAGAAGGGGAAGGGTGGGGGGAGTAAGGAGGCAGAGGAGGCAGTTGCACAGCTGCTGAAAGCTTCTACAGAAAAAATCTTGAACTGACAGAACACCGCAGCCGCTGCGGGGCGCGCCCGGGGCAGCCGGCGAAAGGCGCCGCTCCCCACTGCGCATGCGCGCTGTAACCCGGCGGTGTAGGGGCGTGGCTTGGCGCCTGCGGGGCATGCGTAGTGCCGCCGAGGGTGAAGGCTCACTTGGAGCAGCGGCGGCGGTTAACGGAGCTGGGAGCCCTGAGGTCAGGTGAGGCGGCCTTCTCCTCGGTCTCCATTCCGGCATGCGGTGCTGCCCTCGCCGCCCTTTTCTCGCGTGAAGCAGGGGCTGCTCGCGACTGTGGCTGCCTTTCGACCTGACGGGACCTTTAGAGCCCCGGTTGCCCCGTATGGCGGCTGGGTGCCGGTGACCTGTGCTCTGCCGGGACCGGCGGGTCTGGGCTCCGCCAGCCGCACCTCCGCTCTCGGTGCGGGGCTGAGCCTGTGGGGCTGGCCGGCGGCGGGGCGGGAGGGAAAAAACAGCTCCGTCCCCTAAACGCGGCTGCTGCTGTTTAACTAGAATTCGTGCTTACTGTCAGGATGGAATTCTGATCGTAACTGGTTGCTTTTCCTTTGCTGTGCCGTTGTGCTGGGTGTCTGTGTGCTTTGCGGGACGTTGCTCAGTGCCTCTGGTGCGCAGCCACACGGTGCCCGGCACCTTACTGGTGTTATCTGACTGGCCCTGTGTGCACAGGGATCTGTGCTTAGTAGGGTATGAATACAATTGGGCCATCGCCTCCTTGTGTTTTACAAAAGTAGAGTTTCTTTTGGCAATTTTCAGCTGTTAGGAACTGGACTAGACAAGGGCCATAAAATCAGGATACTTGGGCTGGGGATGGGCCATGGTGATTGTATAAGGTTTTGTTAATGAACGCTTATCCTTATAAATTGACAAGCATTTCAGGTCTCTTGTCCTGTTCATCATGTCTCAAGGAGAACTGCTTGCATAGGAACTACCTGGGGAAAGATCTCCTTGAGAGCAGCCCTGCAGAGAAGGACTTGGGGGTACTGCTGGAGAAGAAGCTGAACATGAGCCAGCAGTGTGCACTTGTAGCCCAGAAGGCCAACTGTGTTCTGGGCTGCATGAAAAAAGGGGTGGCCAGCAGGGAGAGGGAGGTGATTGTCCTCCTGTACTCAGCTCTTGTGAGGCCCCATCTGCAATAATGAGTCCAGGCCTGGGGCCCCCAGTACAGGAAGGACGTGGAGCTCTTGGAGCGAGTCCAGAGAAGGACCACTAAGATGATCAGAGGGCTGGAGCACCTCTACTGTGAGGAAAGGTTGAGGGAACTGGGCTTGTTTAGCTTTGAGAAAAGAAGGCTCTGGGGAGACTCATTGTAGACTTCCAGTACTTGAAGAGAGCATATAAACAGGAGGGGGAATCACTGTTTACGAGGGTAGGTAGTGATAGGACAAGGCAGAATGGTTTTAAACTGAGACAAGGAGGTTTAGGCTAGGTATTAAGGAGAAGTTTTTCACAGAGGGTGTTGATGCACTGGAACAGGTTGCCCAAGGAGGTTGTGGTATTGGTAGGTGGTATTGTTTCTTAATAAATGTCTATAGAAGATGTTTTTAGGTGACTATGGGATCTTTCTCATGTGGAATCAATACCATTTCATGTTCATCTTTGGAACACACCCCTAGAGCAAAGAGTGACAGAATAAACAACGAAGTATAGGTTTGGGGTTTGTTCCTTTCTAATTTAAGACATCCACACTCATTTAAACCATACTTAAAACTAGATTGAGCTTTCTGTCATCAGTCTTCTGCAGTAAATTATAGTGATGATTCTGCGGCTTTTAAGCAAACAGGCCCTGAGCTGTGCACTGCTTATTTGTAACCACGTTATTGCTTTTCAAAGCTTTTCTGTACTTTGAGGTCAGTGTCTAATGTGTCTAAATGTAGAATTGCATATATGCTTGTGTCTTTCAGCACTGAGGATTTGTACTTATTAATGTTTTTATGTTGTGCCTTATTGATCATCACAAAATGTGCAAATAATCTGGTAACCTCTACTAGACATTCAATAAATTTGAAGTTCTTCTTTCCTGAGTAAAAGATAATACAGACTTCTGTATTTCAGAGAGGAGAAAACACTGCAGGCTGATCAGGAAGAGTGAAAAATTATAATTTATTAAAATAGTAACCGTAATCATTTCTTGCGTTAACATATCCCTTTGGTAGGTTGTACGTCAAGAAAACATGGCAGATCCTTGGCAAGAATGTATGGATTATGCAGTTACATTGGCAAAGAAAGCTGGGGAAGTAAGTATAAACCATTTATAACTAATAACATTATTTATTGAGGCTGGTATATGTGTAGCTTTTGAATGAGCTTCGATGTTTTATATTCTTCAGAGGAGTATTAAAAAAAAAAAAAAAGGAAATTAGCACAGTAGTTAAATAAGTGTTTCAAGATTGGAGTACCTTTCAGCTTGGTTGGTGTAATAGGGAACTTTGCATCTTTCTTGGAATGAGGGTCCAATAAAAACCAAGGAATATCTTTTGTTCCTTAGATTTCATTTTAAAATTATTTTGGAATAATGGTAAACAGTGGGTATTTTTTTTTTCCCTTAAATTTGTTTCCCTTATTTTTTTGTATACCTGAA